GCCAAGTCCCTCCCATTCTATACGTGTGCCTTTGGTTTTTTTGTACCTAAGTGTAGGACTTTGCACATATCTCTATTGAAATTCATTGTATTTGTCTCAGCCCACTGTTCCAGCCTATCTAGATCATTTTGAATCCTGACTCTGTCTTCTTCAGAATTAGCAATCCCACCCAGCTTTGTGTCATCTGCAAATTTGATAAGCATCTCCTCTATGTCTTCCTCCAGGTCATTGATAAAAACATTGAACAACACCGGACCTAGGACTGAGCCCTGCGGCACTCCTCTCGAGACTTCACGTAGACGCAGAGCCATTTACGAGCACTTGTTGGGAACGATTTTTCAACCAACCATGAATCCATCCAACGGTTGCACCATCCAGTCCGCATTTAAGCAGCTTATCCTCAAGGATATCATGAGAAATTTTGTCAAATGCTTTACTAAAATCTAAATACACTATATCCACAGCATTGCCAGAGTCAACCATTTCATACTGTGTACAGGAGTATTATGGTTATAATATGGTACCTTTATATCAATACATGTATATACGTATATAAAAAGCACTTTAATAACATTTCTGTGGGCTATTCCAATTATAACACACGTATAAAATATGAACATTAAAAGAACATAATGATATTCCAAAAGATTTTATAGATACCTTGAAATCACCTGTTATCCTTTATTTTAATCCATATGGGGATTTTTATAGAGTTTTAAAAAAGATATTAAATCTAAATTAAATTTTCTAGTTTTGCAAAAATGTGCCATTTTGTTTTAGCAAGTAGGGGTCCTCCTTGTATAACATACTTCTGCAGTTTTAAGTGGCTTTTTTAACTGTCAAAAGATTTGTGATTAATATCTACTGTTTCTGGCTGGACTTTGAGATAACTACACACCTGGTCATTAGCTCTTGGAAGCATCTTTCCATGCAAGCAAATAGTGTATTTACTGTAAAATAATGAGAGCTGCTGGAAAGGCATATATATATTTTACACTTAAAGAAGGATTTTAAACTTAAAGAAGAAAAGGTTAGCTTCATCTTCCTTATAAAAAATACTAAAACTCATAAGCAGTAATGAGCTTCTGAGACCAAGCAGAAAGCCTAAACATAAATCTTCAACTTTTGACAGGTTGTGATGGATTGTTCCATCCTCATTAATAGTTTACTGATGTTCTTTTGATGCTGGGACACCTGTTCATTAAGAAATTCCTTCTGTGACAATTAAATAGGATATAAGAGCTGTTTTTACAATTCTGCTTGGTATTAACTGGTTTGCCAACTGTTTCAGGAAATGCCAATGTCTTTTCCCGAAGACCTCTGAAATACAAGCAATCAGGGGTCATTTCCTGCAGGAGCACATAGGAGCGGAGCTCCGGCAGTAAAGAGGAGGAGGAGATTGGATTTATACCCCGCCCTTCACTACCCAAAGGTGTCTCAGAGCGGCTTACAAACAACTTTCCCTTCCCCTCCCCACAACAGACACTCTGTGAGGTAGGTGGGGCTGAGAGAGCTCTGACAGAAACTGCTCTTTTTTCAAGTACAGCTCTTATCAGAACTACGGCTTGCCCAAGATCATCCAGCCAGGTGCAAGTGGAGGAGTGCGGAATCAAACCCGGTTCTCCCAGATTAGAGTCCGGTTCTCCCAGATTAGTTTCTTCAGGCACAAGCTCTCCCTCCTCTGTGAGGGCAGATCTGCGCGCTCCCCCCCCCCCAATAGCTAGCAATCAAAGAGTCCAGTGGAGCCTGAGCAGTGAGTGGTGCCTTCTGACACACTTCCGGTGATGTCAGGGTGTGTGGCATATGCAAATAAGTTATGCTAATGAGTTATGCTAATGAGCTCCTGCACCTCTTTTTCTATGAAATGACCCCTGCAAGCAATAATCACTAGATTTTGTTCATTAGGTCTCCTCTACAATTCTATCAGTGTACCAGAGGTTTTGCAGAGTTTTAGCCGCAGACTGAGGCTCAATCCAGGCCTAATTCTGCGACAGAGGCAAGAGGAAGGAGGGTAGTTCTCCAAAGCAGTACATCAGCTTACACACATCAGTAGAACAGCAGGTTCTCCCCCATCTTTCTGTCAGCCAAAGGGAACTACCTCCCCCCATATTCTCCCCTTTCTCTAAGCCTCCATGGTTCAGAGTCTTATTTACTGGAGAAAGCTTCTTCCTCACCTGCTTAGCGCTGCACACACACCTCACTTGCGAACAAGCTACTGGCAAAGACTTGCAAAGGCACCGCACTCAAACCTCAATGCTTAGACTGGGGGGGGGGGAGGACTGACTTTGTTCTCCTCACTGCTGCAGAACTGTAACTGGAGAAGCCATCCTCCCACCATCCTGAAGCCCACACCCTTTCCTCTTCCCAGGTTTTATTCCCCCCCGATCCTACTCCAGCCAACACTCTTAACCCACTTCGGGTCCGGCAGCTTCTCTTTAGCATGGCTTGCTTGCTTGTTCCCTTGGTCTCCGAGACACAAGACGAGCTGGCCCCAGGATCTGCGTCTGGCATCGAGGTCTCTCACACACCCCATGCAGACCCAGCTGGGAGGCTTCTCCCGCCTAGTGGCTTAAACAACAGCCAGGAGAAGCTGGCCCAAGGATCAGTCTGCAGTGGGGAGGTCTCTTGCAACCACACACAGACTTCTCCGAGGACAGGAAATGGGCGGCTGTTGGGGAAGAAGACAGCGTGGGTCCTGTATAGAAAAATTGCTTTCTGCTTTCTATATCCACATGCCTTCTCCAGTGATGTCTTTTGACAACATGCTGTGTCTTGTTTCCTGTTGCAAGCCAAATGGTGGGGGCCACATGGCCTAAATAGCCCTGCCATAAACCCACATTCTTTCACACTTTCATGCCAAACGCCAGACCTCATGGCACCACTTTCTGGCCCACATGCGACTAGTCACGTAGACCATGAAGTAGCTGGAGTTTGGGGTCACTTGACTGCAGGCGGGGCTCCAAACTTCTAGCCATTCCTGTGTTGCAGCTATTGGCCACACACCCCTTTCCACTCGTGATTGGCTGATAGCCACAGCTGATTGCGATTAGATTGGGGTATAATTGTTTTGGTCCCCCTGGGAGTAGTAGCTTAGCTCTTCTCTTTGCTTGCTTAGCTCTCCCTTTCTCCTCTTGTCATTATCTGTTTAATGGCACCTGGAAATGCTGCCTCTTGAGAGACAAAGAGTTGCTTTGTGAACTGGAGCACATGGGTGCAAGGATGGGATTTCTACTCAAAATCCCTTGGTACTTGGACTATCCGGGACTGTGGATGTTCTGACTTGGTAACTATGAATCATTAATGTTTAGTTAAGGCAAACAGCCCTAGCCTTTGTTATTTTTGTAATCTCTGGTAGTCTGTATGCTAAGCTCTGTATTGAATAAAGATCTCTCTTATCACTAAATTGTGTATGATGTTGTAACTGAATTCCAAGGCTAAATCCTGTGGCCTAAACGCTCACCCCATACGCTACCTTGGTAAACAGTGTGCATCTCTGGAATGAGTTGCTAATGTGTTCTGTCCCAGATGCCAACTAAGGGCTGAATCTCTCCCTTAGGAAAGGCAGGGACTAGTGAAAAGAGGTTCTGGTGGCATATTGTTCTGGAAACCAGAGAGGGTATAGACCATCTCGTGGTTTGTTGCTTAATGTAATGAAAAGTACAGAATTCCTTCCCATTCCTGGACTGGCTTGGGTGGGCAAATACCTGTACAGGCCCAGAGGAGCTTCTGGCTGGGCACAGAAGAAGCAGGTGAAAATGAGACCAGGCAAGCTGTAAAGCTGAACTCAGGGGCAGCTCGGACCAGCCGGGGAGGGAGCGGAGAGAAGAGAGCCACGGGCTGTATGAAAGCCCTAGGCAGGCCAGTTCTGGCCCATGGGGTGTAGGTTTGACACCTTTCCCTAACACTTTATGTAAGCAAATTTATGAGTCATTGAATAGGGTGCAACTCTCTTGCCTGGGTAGACAACCTCTCTTGAATCATTCAGTTTTGCACAGTTTGTGGAACGCCAGGAGAGAGGGAGCATTCCTGACTTCCTCAGACAGGCCACTCCAGAAGGTGGGGGGCCATAACAGACCCAACAGGTGTATGAGCAGTTGTTGATTTTGACCATTGGCAAGTTGCCCAGGCCATGAAGGATTTTCTGTGTAACAGCCAACATTTTAAATTGAGCCCAGTCACTGATGGGCAGCCAGCGGTGCAACTTTAGAGTGGGAAGAATATGCATGATCCATCTACTGGATAAAAAAACTGTGCTGTGGCAATCTGCACCCGCTGGAGTTTCTGAACTGATTTTGAAGAAGACCCATGTACAGAGAACAACGTTTGAGTCCACTGGCACCTTGAAGACCAACAATTCTTGGTATGAGCGTGCACATGGAAGCTTATGACCAGAATAAAACTTTGGTGGTCTAAAGGTGCCACTGGACTCAGACTTTGTTCTGCTCCTTCAGACCAACATGAAAAGGGGAGGAAGAAGCATGAAAAGAGGCGGAACTATTGGAATCGGAAATATAAAAGAGTGGGGAAGGGAAAAATGAGGTGCATCCCACATGTCCTGAGATTTCCGCACCTATCAAACACAACTCTTTGAAGAAGCCCCCCACCCACCCCAAAGACTTAATCCCTCCTACTATCTTGAATGTACTTCAGCTGACAGAGCTCATCATTGCTTTCTTACTTCAGGGATCTATCTGAGGGCTTCAAATACAGCCTTCTGTAGTTTGAGCATTGATAACATTTTTTCCGAGTTAGGGTTAGATTTCTGTGTAGATTAAAGTTTTTTAAAACCGTCTATGTTGTTTCAATGTTTTATGTGGTCGGTGGTTGTCTTTTATCAGTGAACTAAGAGAAGTGCTCTTTTCACAGGCTAAGCGGTTGCCTGGTTTCTCCTTCTGTGGGTTCTTAGGTGTTTATGAAAAGTGCTACTCCAACTCAATCTCTTTCCACGCTCTGAGCATTCAAAAAGTTTCTCCCCTGTGTGGGTTTCTTTGATGCCGCTGAAGACTGCCAATCTGACTGAATCTCTTTCCACACTCTGAGCATTCAAAAGGTTTCTCCCCCCTGTGGGTCCTTCGATGCAGATGAAGATGGCTACTCTGACTGAATCTCTTTCCACACTCTGAGCATTCAAAAGGTTTCTCCCCTGTGTGAGTTCTTTGATGATATTGAAGACCAGCACTCTGACTGAATCTCTTTCCACACTCTGAGCATTCAAACGGTTTCTCCCCTGTGTGGGTTCTTTGATGACACTGAAGACTGCCACTCCGAGTGAATCTCTTTCCACACTCTAAGCATTCAAAAGGTTTCTCCCCTCTGTGGGTACTGAGATGGTTTTGAAGAATGCTGCTCATACTGAATCTCCTTCCGCACTCTGAGCATTCAAAAGGTTTCTCTCCTGTGTGGGTTCTTTGATGACGCTGAAGACTACCATTGTGACTGAATCTCTTTTTGCACTCTGAGCATTCAAAAGGTTTCTCCCCTGTGTGGGTTCTTCGATGCAGATGAAGATGGCTACTCTGATTGAATCCCTTTCCACACTCTGAACATTCAAAAGGTTTCTCCCCTACATGGGTTCTTTGATGCTTTTGAAGATTTCCATTCGAACTGAATCTCTTTCCGCACTCTGAGCATTCAAAAGGTTTCTCTCCTGTGTGGGTTCTTTGATGCACTTGAAGTGTGCGCCTGTGAGTAAATCTCTTTCCACACTCTGAGCATTCAAAAGGTTTCTCTCCTGTGTGGGTTCTTTGATGCACTTGAAGTGTGCGCCTGTGAGTAAATCTCTTTCCACACTCTGAGCATTCAAAAGGTTTCTCTCCTGTGTGGGTTCTTTGATGCACTTGAAGTGTGCGCCTGTGAGTAAATCTCTTTCCACACTCTGAGCATTCAAAAGGTTTCTCTCCTGTGTGGGTTCTTTGATGCACTTGAAGTGTGCGCCTGTGAGTAAATCTCTTTCCACACTCTGAGCATTCAAAAGGTTTCTCCCCCGTGTGGGTTCTTTGATGCAGTTGAAAAGTGCTACTGTGAGTGAATCTCCTTCCACACTCTGAGCATTCAAAAGGTTTCTCCCTTGTGTGGATTCTCTGATGCACTTGAAGAAAGGTACTCCGACTGAATCTCTTTCCACACTCCGAGCATTCAAAAGGTTTCTCCCCTGTGTGGGTTCTCTGATGCTGCTGAAGATTTCCACTGGTGCTGAATTTCTTTCCACACTGTGTGCATTCAAAAGGTTTCTCCCCTGTGTGGCTTCTCTGATGTCGTTTAAGAAGGCCACTCCAACTGAATCTCTTTCCACACTCTGAGCATTCAAAACGTTTCTCCCCTGTATGGGTTCTCTGATGGTGTTGAAGATTGCCACTGGTACTAAATCTCTTTTCACACTCCGCACCGTCGAAAGGTTCCCCCCCTTTGTGGGTTCCTTGATGATGTTGAAGGTTGTCACTCAGACTGAAGTTCTTCCCATACTCTGTGTTTTCAAAAGGTTTCTCTTCTCTTTGTATTCTTAGTTTCCCAAGAAGCTGTGACCTATATTTGATGTACTTTCCACACGGAACAGATTTACTTGTCTTCAATGTATTGTGCTTTGGAAACTGTACATTATGCTGTCTTCCATCTCTCTTCTCAACCAAACAGCCGCCTTTCTTTCTCATAGTTCTACTTTGATTACTGACATTTCCTTGTAAATCTTCATCATTAACTTTATCTGGAAATTGCGGATGAAGTTCCTCACTCTTCTCATGTCTCTGATCGTTCTCTGCTGGAATAAAGAGAGACCTTTTACTTATTTATTTCTTTTGTTTAGCGCCCTTCTCGCGAACGACCTCAGGGCAGTACACATCAAAGTCATATAAAACACATAAAACCTATTAAGGCCCCGTTCACACGGAGTATTTGTGGCGCTAAAGATACAGATGATAGGTGAATTTTCTGGGCACGATCACACCACAACATCTGGGAAGTGTAGTGCACCCATGGATAACCCGTGGCTTCGTGCCAAAGATACAGAGTAAAAAACTAGTACTTAGGATCTACTAGTTTCTGGAAAACGCGGGGCAAGGGCGGGCGTCTGATCGCGTCCCGTCCTAGGCCTGTCGCAAAGCAGTTAGTTTTTTTTTAAGTCTTCACAGGATGCACACAAACGATCATGCGCATGCTCACCTTTTGATGAGAAAAAAAATATTCCCGTTTGCTACGGAAGCGGCGCCTGGCGATTGCTGGTGTGATCGCGCAGCGCCGCTTCTTTGCCGTGCTGCAGGATAGCCGTGTGTTCGGCACCTCACGCCCTAACCACGGGACCTCGATGGGACGTGTGATTGGGCGGCCGCGCGTTATTTTGCTCTGGGGCAAACAGCCACGCTTCCCCCCTCCCACATTTTCCGGCCCGTGTGACCGGGGCCTAAACAGTTTAAGATACAATCCTAAAGCCTAATAACCGTGTGGCGCCATCATACAATTCTGGCCCCCAATTTACATGAGCAATGGGGGAACAGGGGTGAAAACAGATTGTGAATCAAATGGTTAAAAACTGTTAAATGGTGAAGAAACAGTCACTTGTCCTCAACCGTATGTTTCGCAGAATATCTCTGCCCTGCAAACCCTGCTAAATTGTAGCAAATCCATAGTACTCAGATGTTAAACAACAGATAGTTCCTCCAAGTTGGTTGAAGACAGCCGGACACTTTTTGGGCCAAGGACTTCCAACAGATGTTGGTCACTGGAGCGTGATGCTCTCCGGGGGACATACCAGCAGAGGAGGTCCCATAGGTACTTTAGTCCCTGACTCTTCAGGGCCTTAAAGGTCAAGACCAAAACCTAGAACCTGACCCAGTACTCAACTTTGAAGCAGTGCAGCTGGCGAAGCACAGGTTGCGTAAGTGCAGTTACTGGTGTCCCTGTAAGGATCCGAGCCGCTGGATTCTGGACAATCTGTAACTTCCAGATCAGCCTCAAGGGCAGCCCAGCGTAGTGCAAGTTACAGTAATCAAGTCTAGAGGTGACCGTTGCGTGGATTATCATGGCTAGGCTGGGGCTAGACAGGTAAGGGGCGAGTTGTTTTACCCGACTACATTTAGCAACTGGGAGGGCAGGTAAGTTTAGTGTTGGGGGAAAGAGGGGTGCAGGAACCGTTTCATGTACTCTCATTCCCACTGTTCATTTTGAGAAGGGAGAGGCGCTGGCTTCCCAATTTTATCCAGAGAGGGAGAGAGAGAGAGTTGTTCTAAACCAAAACTGTATTTATCCCATTACACACTCTTTGCCAAAGAGAGCCTCCCTCCGAATCCTGCCCAATTCAGGCTGGAGATCACCTTCGCTAAGAGGGTGGCTAGCTACAATTACAAAGGGGGGTTAAAGGCACCTGCATACCTTTAACCAGGTAGTACTACCACCCGTCCTTTTGTGTTCCTCCAGTCAAGAACCAAAGGACACCCTCCTGACCTTACCGGGCTTAGCTAGGGAATCCTCCCTGCGAGGTTGGCTCACAGCAGGAGACCCACAGGTTATTCTAGAGGTAGTACCCAACTGTCTTAGGCACCAGATAACTCATTGCAGCAATGGAGACAGAAACCAAAAGGTGGTAAATAAAATATATGTTTTTTTAAGTGCACAAGATATATTTATTAAAAGGTGCAGAATTACTTAAAACAGTACTGTGAAGGAAAACAAGAAAGCTAAAGATTAACAAACTTGCTAAACCCTTCTACAACCTCGGTTCTCAAAGGCAAGATGTCAGCCATTCAGTTCTGGGTCCAAATGTACTCCGTCTCCGGAGTCCCAAGCGTCAGGCTGGTTGGCTTCAGCAGCCAGAACTCCCAAGATGGCCGAAAGGTGAGCAAGACAGAGTTACAAATCAGCTTCACATGCAACACCACCATGCCCCCCAAAAGGATGTTAAAGCAGGTTATTTATCGCCGGAACCCTCAGTGGTCGCTAGGCCTGTGCACCAATCAAGGTTCAAAGCAATGTCTTCTAGATACAAGAAGGCCAATCAAGGAAAGGACGATTTCATTGGTCTCTGATTGGTCTCTGGTCATGTCAGAAGAACAGGTGCCGTGACCTGCAGTTTCACAGCACCAGTCCCTTCCCACAGGACTTTGAAATATTCACGAGGAACGCCAAAGCCAGAGAGGGAACATGTTACCTTGCAGGTGCACGGATGTTTGCTCTCCCTAGCACAGCTGTGTGAGCTGAGGAGACTTAAAAGACAACATTCTTAAACAAGAGCAGACCGCAGCCAAACTGAACCAAAGTTTTAAAGCAAACTGCATTCTGAGTGAGCCAAAGTTTTTGGTAGGATTTCAATAGTCAACATAGAATATTTCAACACAACCCCAATACATAAATAGTGCACATAAGTTTATAAAGGATATCCTTGGTTGTTCTTCCAAGACTCACCATGGCAGGTTGGTTGATCAGAACAACTTTGAACAAAACTAATTCAGACATTTAAGTACTCTTTTTCACCCATCGAAGCTAATGTAACTGTCAGTTAAGTCTGTGATGAGCATTTGACGTGCACAACAAGGTGAGCCCCTTTCATTCTGTCTGTGGAGTAAGGAATGTCAAGGAAAGCTGTGTTAAGCCAGGGTGACTCATGAGTCGAGGAAGCTGGTTTCTGATACTCTATCTACTTAGAATCTGATAGTGACTTCTGACTGCTGCAAAGTATGAACATCCCCAGAAGGTGAAAGTCACATGAGTCAAAGTGGTGTACAGTGACGACCACAGCATTCAGCAGAGTTCTGAAGCTTCCTGGGAACAGGACCAAAGTTTCAACTAGGGGTGTGCATTCGGCTATAGCCGAAGTGTAAAAATACCCGAAAAATACCTTGTCAGTATTTTTCGGGTATTATATAAGCCAAATACAGATCAGGTGCAGGGCACCTGGAGAAGATCATGTAGGGAACTCAGGCACGTTTGCATGCCAGTCCTCGGTCTCTGCGGCCGGCCTGCCTGCCAAAGTGGGCAGGCTGGGAAAATAGAGGGCAGGCACGCAAACATGCCCTTTCCTTTCCCTGAGCCTCTCCGCTTTTGAGGAGGGAAATAAAGGCATTTTAAACATGCCTAGGTTCCCTGCCTCCTTTTCTCCAGCTACAAACTGTCAGCTAGAGAAGGGAAGGCAGAGAGCTGAGGCTTTCCCTAGTCAATTTCACTCCCAGCTGACTGGTGGGGAGTGAAATTGACAGGGAAATCTGTAGGGGCTACCAGAGGGAAAGAAGGCATTTTAACATGCCTCCTTTCCCTCTGGTAGTGTAAATCAGACCCGAATATATTTGGGAATACCAAATATAGCCCCAGTCCGAATACCTTACCGTACTTTACTGGGGAAATTCAGCATTTGCCAATATTTTTCGGGTCTGGTTTACCGGTGGTTGTTTTTTTTGGCACATACCTAGCTAATTACTATAGAAATTAAAGTACCACAGGTGTATCAGAGGTTTTGCAGCATTTTAGCTGAGGACTGAGGCTCAATTCAGCCCTAATTCTGCAACATTGAGCACCTGGGAGGGCAGGTAAGGTCCAAAGGTCTATATGTGACTCCAGTAGGAAAGGATTCACAGCCCTTTGGCCTTGTCCAGCTTGGCTGACCTTAACCACCCCCTTGCCTTTCCCCAGAATATCCAGGATTTAAGGATGCCACAGCCTTTCCAGAGCCACAGCTGAACTCTTGCCCAGAGGGAGCTTCTGATCCTCTAGCCCCAGAAGGTCTGCCTTCCGCCTTACCCAGCAGGCATCATAATTGTACTAAACTCTGAGGCAGAAACGTCCCATGGGTATTCCTTGACTGTTCCCTTAAGATAACTGTGAAGGATCCCCACTCTCATCCAACTCACTTGGGAAGGAAATCCTCTCTGGAGAGCCTCTTGAAGAACTCTCCAGACTTTTTCCTGAATGCAAGGCTGTTGTCCGTCTCCACCAGTGTTCCCTCTAAACTGAGTGAGTGTGAGCTAGCTCAGTTTTTTAGCCACCGGCTCACACAGCTTTGTCTCAGCTCAGGAAGGAGGGATCTAGAGCAAACTAATTTATGCAGTAGCCAAATCGATCGCTCACAACTTTAATGCCACTTGCTCACAAAGCAGAATTTCTGCTCACAAGACTCCACAGCTTAGAGGGAGCATTGGTCTCCACCATGGCCTCTCTTATAATTCTGGCTTCTTTCACACAGAGACAGAGAGATAGTTGGGGGAGGGGGAGGTAACTCTTATATAGAAAGGACAGAAATCCAAAAAATTATCCTGGAAGGGCAGAAACATGGTCAAGATTAAAGCCCACAATCCCAAACAGCAGAAGGGGGACAGATTATTTCCAGATCAATGTCAGAGCAGATGTTTGTAATCCCATCCAGGGAAAGGGGTTTGTTGCCAAAGGCTGGAAACAGAGAAAGGAGGGTTTGGACCCTTCTGGAGTCTTTCTGAGGGCCTCTCATCCCACCTTCGCTTCAGGCTGGGACACTTTCTCTGGTTTGGGTGATGGCCACAACACTGCCCTCAGTTGCTTCTGGGCAAACAGCCGGACAGTAGATACGTGCGTCACCACAATGGCAGCAATTCGCACCTTTGCTGCCCATGAAAGACACTTACCCAGAAAGGCCACATTCCCGTAATTCTCCAGCATGACTTCCCGGTAGAGGGCTCTTTGGTCCGGATCCAGCAAGGCCCACTCTGCATCGGTGAAATACACGGCCACCTCCTCGAAGGAAAACGGGCCCTGAAAGAAAAAGCAGAAAATCCCTCCTCAGAGATCACGCCAGGCAGAGACTGCACCCTGGAAGGGAGTAGACTGGGAGGGTACAGGATGTATGGCTTGGCATGGGGTAAAGGGAGTGGCGTTCAGAGCCTCTTTCGCCCAGACACCTTGTAGAGGCTGCAAGAGCAAAAGCCCCCCCTTCCGAGAAAGGAGGGGGAACCCAGGCCGTCACCCACTCAGATCCCCTACCTGGACGGGAGGGGCAGCCGCCGTTTCCACACCTCTGAAAAGATGACGGCTCAACAGCATCTCTCCACTGCCTGTTCCTGAGACAAAGGAGGAAGGAAGGGATATTCCCACGACTTTCTATTCTATTTGCTTGTTTGTTCCCTGCTTCGTTCACCGCATTGTTCTGTGTACACTCAACACATCTTAACACTTTTTACAAAATACTGGGAGAGGCAGAAGAGAAGGACCAGGTACCAGGAGCCTCAGGGACTCTACATGCTGCCAACATATTTCAGACTTCTGTCAAGTGTGTGGCAGGTTTGAGGGAGGGTGAAGAGAGAGATGGAAATGACGCTGCATGACACGTCACCGTCACATTCAGACCAGACATGACTTGAGCGCATCTGAAGACTCGAGGGTCATATTAATGATTTTTCAGAGTGCCTCTTGGCAGGCTCACTTCATGGCCAGGTTTTCAGCCAGACGCAACATCAGCATGACTCCACATCTGCCCCAGACCCCACCCCAAAGGCCCTCCCCAAAGCTCCTGGGCAAAGCCCACCGTCCGTATTCCAGCATCCTGTTTCCCAAAGCGGCCCGCCAGATGCCCCTAGAAGCACGGGCACAGAAGCCAAATGTTTCCATCCTCATTGGCCCCCAGGAAGGGTTTTTCAGAGCTCTGCTGCCCCAGAAGGTGGAGACTCCCTTTATTCACCAAGTTGAATAGTTCTGCCGAGATCTGTCTACCTTAGGGAAGGCGGGAGAGAGATGACTCTTTTAATTAATGGGAGGAATTGTCCTCCAGGAATTTGTCCAATCCCCTTTGAAAGGCATCACAATTAGCGGACACTGAGTTCCACAAATAAACTCTTTGTTGCAGGAAGAATTGTTTAATTCCCCCCCCCCCGTGACCTGCACTCTCTACCCATCAAATTCACTGGGTGCCCCAATTGTATCCAGGCACAAAGAGTTCTTACCACAGGACAGGACATCTTGGACACGCTTCATGGCCTGCGCCCTCTGCTCTTGCTCCAAGGAACTTCCTTCTGCTTCAGGGAAGGTTACTTCTATCTTCAGGGATGGTGCCCACATCTGAAACAGCAGCGAGGGAGAGGGGTAAGAGATGGAGTGGAAAAGAGACCAAGGAATGGATCCTGCCCCACTCCCAGACTTTGCACCCTTCCATCAGCAGACTGGGTGAGGTCTCTGGAGGGATCTGAAATTGTCTGGTAGAAGAGGCTGCTGAAGGAGACTGTAACACTTGGACAAATATCTCTCATAGACACTTAGGTTAGGATAAAGCCAGATATCATTGCTTGAACTGGACATGGAAATTCCCTCACCTGCCTCTTCTCCTCTGCCTGACTCAGGAGGAAACCTTCTGCCAGGGCCACCGCCTGGGAACTAGTCTCTGGCCCGCACTCTCTGACCCAGCCCTGCATTTCCTGGGGCAGAATACTCAGGAACTGCTCCAGGATCACCAGGTCCAGGATCTGCTTCTTGGTGTGCCTCTCCGGCTCCAGCCACTGGCTGCAGAGTCCATGGAGCTGGCTGCAAACTTCTCGGGGCCCATCGGCCTCATGGTAGCAGAACTCCCAGAAGTGTTGACAGTGTACCTCTGAGGTCACAGTGTCTTTAGCCAGGACCTCTGGCACAGCTCTTTCCCAGAATTCAACAGCACTCCCAGGTTGTATGGGATGGGGGCCTCTCCTTGCTCTCTTGCCAGTTCCAGGTCCTTCTGGGTCCTGCGCTTCCATCTCCTTCCCCTTCTCTTGGGTCACCTGTGTCTGTGCAAAGATGTCTTTATTTGCTTGGCTATGATGGGAGGCTCCTTCCTGAGGGGACGGAGAGAGACAGAAAGCAGTGTGTCAAAAGTAAAACTAAAAAGAATGGAAATACACCACAGAAGATCACAAACCTTCATAGTGAGACTGCCCTTGCTGGACCAGAACAAAAGTGCTTCCTGTGTTTTGTAGACCAGGTTTAAGATCATTTTGCCATATTATAAAATCCAGCTATCTTAGATGTGCTTCCTTGGTTCTTTGGGGAAGTTACGTGTCTCTGTTTGGCCCTTTAAGGATCCAGTGAAGCTGATGGGCAATTAAGTCAGGACAGACAGAAAGCGATTAAAATATGGAATTCGCTGCCAGAGGATGTTGTGAGGGCCACAAAAAATAAACAGCTTGAAAAGCGGATTAGATAGATTCATCGAGAGCCAGTGTGGTGTAGTGGTTAAGTGCGTGGCCTCTAATCTGGGAGAACCGGGTTTGATTCCCCACTCCTCCACTTGCACCTGCTGGATGACCTTGGGCAAGCCGTAGTTCTGATAAGAGCTGTCCTTGAAAAAGTGCAGTTTCTGTCAGAGCTCTCTCAGCCCGACCTACCTCACAGGGTGTCTGTTGTGGGGAGGGGAAGGAAAAGGAGTTTGTAAGCTGCTCTGAGACGCCTTTGGGTAGTGAAGGGCGGGGTATATATCCTCTTCTTCTCTCTTCTTCTTATTGGTGGCTACTAGCCATGGTGACCGAGGGGAACCTCCACATTTAGAGGTATTCAACCTCTGAATCTCAGAGCCAGGAGGCAAAATCAAGGTTCTTCTTATGTTCTAATGAAAGGAGCAGGTATTCTTTGGTGTGAAAGACCTATCTCTGCCCGAGACCCTGTGTCAAACTTGCTCTGCATTTTATGGCTTGTTTGTCATAGCAACCGAGGGGAAGGTGGGGGAGAGTGAGAAACTGAAATGCTTTCAGTTTTCCAGGCCGCTTTGAAGTAGCTTGCATCCTTAGTGCCTCTGAGAACCCATATGTCCTTGGTACTCAGCTTTCACAGCTCGGCTTCATCTTACATATGGGGGGGGATGGCATAGGGGGGGTAGTTAGCCATTGCTTTTGGCGGGTGGAATAACAGCAGGTGATTGGTCCTGGGACTTTAGGGCCCCTGTTTGAACCTTGTGTATCTGTTGCATTCGCGCCTTTAACCTCAGTTCTAAGGCAACCAGTGTCTAGTCTGGATCCTGTCAATGTCTCAATAAAGCTATCATTCTCCAGAGTGAATGTTGTTGGGAACATGGATGTGTGGTCGTGTGTGTCTTGCTCCATGTCAGGAAAGTCAGTTTGACCCACACCACACTGCTCCACACTGTGCCTTCTCCTCTCTGGCTGTTTTGGAGGGAATGTGGTCGCGTGGATGCCAAGGGCATCAGGGGGCAAGAGCCGTGGCATGGCCTCGCCACACTGAACTGTGGTGGTTGTTCTTCACATGGCCCTGAGTTCCAAAGAATCCCCGCAGAAGAAGAAGAAGAGGAGGAGGAGGAGGAGATTGGATTTATACCCCGCCTTCAGAAAATGCTTTCCAAGCCGGATTCTTACCTGGTTTCCTTTGCTTCCAAGGTGACCCTCTTTTCCAGAGGGGCCCTGAGACAAGAGAATCAATATCTGAACATTGGTTTATTGAATGTGGACTTGAATTTGGCTGGGAAATGGCATCTGTAGGCAACCAGAGTCCTTCCTGTTCAAAATGGCTGCTAGGCCAGAGAAAGGCTGAGCACTTCATTTTCAAAGTGGCTGCTAGGCCAGAAAAAGCCTGAGCACTTTCTGTTTAAAATGGCTGCTGGCCAGAAAAAGACTGAGCACTTCCTGTTCAAAGTGGCTGCTAGTCCAGAGACAGCCTGAGCTAGGGCTGCCAACCCCCCCGGTAGGGTGGAATTCCCCCCGCCCCGGAGGCCCGTCACCCGACGCGGGGGAATCCGGGCCCGGGGGGAACTCCGCCCCAGCGTGCGCGTCACCCGGAAGTGACGTTGCACGCTGGGGGCGGGGCCACGCCATTTGAGGGGAAAACTCTTTGTTTTCCCCTCAAATGGCTGCCATCTGAGGGGAAAACTCTTTGTTTTCCCCTCAAATGGTGTGGCCCCGCCCAGCGTGTGACGTCACTTCCGGTGACGTCCTGGCGGCACGTGCGCGCATTCCAAAGCGGCTCCCGGACCGGCAAGACGATCCCCCGCGGGTAGGGAGTTTTGATTTGGCAACCCTAGCCTGAGCACTTCCTGTTCAAAGTGGCTGCTAGGCCAGAGGAAGCCTGAGTACTTCCTGTTTAAAATGGCTGCCAGGCTAGAGAAAGGCTGAGCACTTCCTGTTCAAAGTGGCTGCTAGGCCAGAGGAAGCCTGAGCCCTTCCTGTTCAAAGTGGCTGCTAGGCCAGAGAAAGCCTGAGCTCTTCCTGTTTAAAATGGCTGCTAGGCCAGAGAAAGCCTGAGCCCTTCCTGTTCAAAATGGCTGCTAGGCCAGAGGAAGCCTGAGCCCTTCCTGTTCAAAATGGCTGCAAGGCCAGAGGAAGCCTGAGCACTTCCTGTTCAAAATGGCTGCTAGGCCAGAGAAAGGCTGAGCTCTTCCTGTTCAAAATGGCTGCTAGGCCAGAGGAAGCCTGAGCTCTTCCTGTTTAAAATGGCTGCTAGGCCAGAGAAAGGCTGAGCACTTTCTGTTCAAAGTGGCTGCTAGGCCAGAGAAAGCCTGAGCACTTCCTGTTCAAAGTGGCTGCTAGGGCACAGAGAACTACTCCCTTCCTGTGTAAGGTGCCTGCTAACACCTTTCTCTCAAACACTCCTGCTGTGTGGAGAAGGAGATGGGCATGAGAGACTGCAGGGAGGGGGTACTTACAGGGGGTCCATCCAAGCCTGGCATCACGAGGAGGCCGGGTTTCCCTCTGGGGCCCTGAGAGGGAGAGGAGAAACATGTCAGGCCAGCCGTGGCTTGGCACCCTAACCAGCACTTCCCCCCACAGCAGTGGGGTAGGACACACCTCCTTTCCCCCCGGAGGCCCCATAGCGCCTTGTGGTCCTGGCAGAGCCTAGAAAGAAACCCAGAGGAAGACTCAACGTCATATGGTCCCACTCAACTTCCAGGATCCCAAATCTTGAGATCCCCGCACTCTTCCAATACCCCAATCCCCTAGACCCCAACCCCCCCCGAGGACCCCAGAAGACCCCCTTCAGGCACAAACAGAACGAATACCACTGTGAAGTGAAAGAGCCACACACACCCCCGGCTTTGCATGGCCGAGGTTCCCCGGTCAATCCCTGGCATCTCTTTGAAGAGAAGAGATTGGATTTATACCCCACCCTTCACTTGGCGTCTCGGAGCGGCTTACAAACTCCTTTCCCTTCCCCTCCCCACAACAGATACCCTGTGAGGTGGGTGGGGCTGAGAGAACTCTTGACAGGAACTGCTCTTTTTCAAGGACAGCAGTGCCAGAGCTTGTGACTGACCCAAGGTCACATCAGCAGGCGCAAGTGGAGGGAGTGGGGAATCAAACCCGGTTCTCCCAGATTAGAGTCCGCGCACTTAACCACTACGCCAAACTGGTTCTTTCGTTCTTAGGAAGGGCCAATTCCTGGTATGAGCCTCTATCAGTAGCCGTTACCCAGGCGTAGTGGAGCCTCCATGTTCAGAGGCAGTCTGTCTCTCGAGACCAGACGTTGGGGACCATGAAAAGGGAGGTGGGGGCTGCTCCCTTCGAGCTCCAGAGAAATGTTGGAGGCATCTGGCCAGACACTGCGGGAAACAGGAGACTGACGTAGATGGACCCCCTTTGTTCTGACCCAGCGGGGCTCACCTGCGTCCAAAGTCCCCTCTTACCTTAGTCCCTGGTATGGAATTCACTGCCACAGGAAGTGGTGGCAGCTACAAGCATGGACGGCTTCAAGAGGGAATTAGATAAGCATATGGAGCAGAGGTCCATCAGTGGGTATTAGCCACAAGGTATAGATAGGGCCTCTGGGGCAAGTGATGCTCTGTCTTCTTGGTGCTTGGTGGTGGGGTCAACAGTGGGAGGGCTTCTAGTGTCCTGGCCCCACTGCTGGACCTCCTGATGGCACCTGGTATTTCTGGCCACTGTGTGACAGAGTGTTGGACTGGATGGGCCTTTGGCCTGATCCAACATTGGCGTCTCTTATGTTCTCCTATGTTCCCTGCTGACCGGGGGGGCTGGCTCCCCTGGTGGCCCCTGGTTGGAAAAAACAAAACATAAACTCATAAAGCTGCTGGAGGGACCAGCGGTGTCCTTCTCAGAGGGCAGTTAGGGCAAACCAGTTAAGGCGAAACAACCAAGCAACGCAAGACAGCCTAAAAGGAAACCGTCAAGGCCAGAAAAACGGGATCTGGGAAGTCTTTTGTCCTCCAGTTTCCTGAAATGCCTCCAGGCTGGGGCTTCGGTGAAAGTCAGAGGCCTGGGGCCACCACACCGCTGGCCCTGCTGGCTTCCTCTTGTGGTACGGAGAGACCTGCCAGGAGAACTTCCCACAGCTGGGAAGGTACCAATGCACCAAACTTGCTCCAGGCTGGAAACCATGCTCTCTAATCTCAGAAGTCGGGTTGTGGCTACTGAGGAGTAATGGAAGGGCACTCTGCCCATGCCCAGAGGTATGTGTACATTTGCTTCTTTGTGGCGGAAAGTGTTGTCAAGTCACAGCTGACTTATGATGACACCGTAGGCTTTTCAAGGCAAGCGACATTCAGAGGTGGTTTGCCATGGCCTGCCATCCGCACAGAGACCCTGGACTTTCAGAAGAGGTTTTTCTGTGAAATGTTGGTGGGGGGGGGACCCTTCCTGAGTCCTCCACAGCAGCCTGACCCCAGGGAAGTCAAGAAAATCTTCCTTATGGAGATTTTGAAGCCAAGATTTGGGTATCAGATCAGTCCCAGAATAACCAGCCTCAAGCAGAGGACAGGACTATCAACACTCGTCCTTTTTTTTTTTTTAAAGAAGAAGATACAAACACGATTACTTTTTTAGAAGGCAGATGAGCTTCAGGGGTCCTTCACTTTGTTTCTACAATGCAGAAATCTCTTTGACGAAGGGTAATGAAAAATCACAAGTCTGGCAAGCCAAACCTTTCCCCTTCCCGCCCCCGTACAAAACAGATACTCACCAGGTTCCCCTTCGGCCCACCTGCCCCATCCACGCCACACTCGCCCTGCAGAGACACAGGCAGAGGTTCTGTGGCAGAACTAGGGGGGGGGGGGGTGGAGCTCTGGGGGATGGCAGAACTAGGGGGGGGGGGGTTGCAGCTCTGGGAGACGGCAGATCCCCTCCCCGGGACTTACTGGTGGGCCTTTGATTCCTGGGGGGCCTTTGGGGTCAAGCAAACCACGAGGTCCCTGGAAAGTGGCAGGGCAAAGAAAAGCGGGCTGTCAGTACCCTGGCAGAGAGGCTGAGAGGAAGGGTTCTTCTCCTAGCTACACGGACCCCGAGTGCAACCCTTGTTCAGATGTGCAAGGTACCTGCCCACGTGCGCGCCCCCACTCCGCAATGCTTCCAGCCCATCCTCTGCCCTCAGGAACACCTGGAAGGCCCAGCAGTGAGGAGAGCCGCTTGAGGAACGCTCCGCTCCTTCTGCACCCCAAGGCAGCCGCACTGAACATGCCCAGAGGCAGGGGAGGGGAAATCGGGCTGCCTGGACCAGGCGACATCTGGGCACGCTCCACACCACCGCCCATCTTTGGCAGTCCAGAGGCAACTCTTTGGGTGCCACACCCGGCACATTCCGTACAGCTGCACGGGTGTGTAGAAGGAGCTAGAGTTTGCTGTTCAGGGCTGCCATTTCTAAGAGGGCTGAAAGGTGTCTGACAGAAAGAGTTCAGACACACACGTACACATAACCCCCCCCACGCACATATGTCAAAGTTTCTGCCGCATGTAGACATGTTTCCCCTTTGAACCCCAGAAGACCTCCTGGAAAGACCCCCCCCCCCCGGCCAAGACCCAGAACGCTGGAGGGGGGGGACGAAGGAACGGGAAGGAAGGGATTTATACCCCACCCTTCATTCTGAGTTTCAGAGTGGCTTAAAATCACCTCCTCTTCCTCTCCCCACAACAGACACCCTGTGACGTGTGTGGGGCTGAGAGAGCTCTGACAGAAATTGCTCTTGACAGAATGGCTCTGAGAGAACTTTGGCTGACCCAAGGTCACCCAGCTGCCTGCCTGCGGAGGAGCGGGGAATCAAACTCGGTTCTTCAGATCAGACTCCGCTGCTCTTAACCACTCTACCAAACTTGGTCTCCAGATCCCTCACCATCTTGGTTGCCCTCCTCTGGACACGTTCCAGCTTGTCCAGTTTGGTGTCGTGGTTAAGTGCGCGGACTCTAATCTGGGAGAACCGGGTTTGATTCCCCCACTCCTCCACTTGCACCTGCTGGATGACCTTGGACAAGCCATAGTTCTGTCAGAGTTGTTCTTGAAAGAGCAGTTTCTGTCAGAGTTCTCTCAGCCTCACCTACCTCACAGGGTGTCTGTTGTGGGAAGGGGAAGGGAAAGGAGTTTGTAAGCTGCTCCGAGAATCCAAGTGAAGGGCGGGGTATAAATCCAATCTCTTCTTCTTCTTCTTCTTGTCTATATCCTTCTATAGTTGTGGGGCCCAAAACTGAACACCGTACTCTAGGTGAGGCAAAACCAGAGCAGAGTAAAGCGATGCCATTGCTTTGCATGACCTGGACACTGATCTGTTGATGCAGCTTAAAATCGCATTTGCCTCTTTAGTACCGCATTACATTGGTGACTCCTGTTCAGACTATGGTTCTACTAAGACCCCTAGATCCTTTTCACACATACTGCAGCTAAGACGAGTCTCCCTCATTCATCTTTTCCTTTTCTTTTTATGAGTATGAGGTAATTTCCCACCAGACCAGATTGTCTCAGGGATCCTGGAGGTCTTTTTGCCTTCCGCTAGGCAGAGAGCAAGGACCACTGGGGGGGTGGGGGGGAAGCAGGTGTCAATTTCCTGTGTTGTGCAGGGGGTTGGACGAGATTCAGGGGTGGCCAAACTTGCTCAACGTAAAGAGCCACATAGAATAAACGTCAGATGCTTGAGAGTCGCAAGACATGGACAAATATTACACACATGCTTTTATTCTAAAAATATGCAAATCTGCTTTTTATTAACATTAAATGACTGCCAAAAACAAAACAGATATTGACAATGATATTTATTTGTCCAGTGATATTTATTTGTCTAAGAGAGAGAGAGAGAGAGAGAGAGAGAGAGAGAGAGAGAGAGAGAGGGAGAAAGAAAGAATGAAAGAGGGGGAGAGAGAAAGAA